AAGAAAGGATTATTTTACAAGAAAACGCTTTAAGATCAAAGTTTCTGAACTTGTTTGTCATTTCATGAAACCCTAGGTGGCTAAACGTCTCTACAGTTTAGTTTGCTACAGGTTCCGCTGAGTTTGTAGAAGTGCTTTTCCAGTCCAAAAACCCGTTGATGATAACATGATGTCTCTCTTGTGTCTGCCGCGGGCGTCTTATCTGCTACCTCCCATGCTCGAGGTGCTATAAACACAACAAGAACAAGCCTTTTAGTATTGATCTTTAAATACAGTAGTAAGTATTAAGGATGACTAACCCTCCCCCAACCCTATCATATATCGGTGTTCCAAAACAATCCAACGGCGGCCATGTTGGTGTACCAAACCAATCCCGTGGGAGTTGAACTTTTTCTTCAGTGAACACTTTCTTTAGTTCCAATAAATTTGTATGCAACGTGAGTGGTAACGCTCTATAAGATTTCAAGTAGGAGGCTTTCCTTGCGAGCTCAGACATCTCTTACAGAAACCAGAATAAAGTTATACAGGGAGAAAGTTTTTAGAGAAACTGTGGTGTTGCGTCGGTGGGAGAGTATAGCAGGTACTTTAGTGTTAACAACTGAGTTGAAAACGTAAATTAGCCACCGTAAAGGGTAAAAAAGCTGACGTTTCGAGCGTGAGCCCTTCGCCCTTCGCCCTTCGCCCTGACGAGGGGCTAACGCTCGAAATGTTATCTTTTTTACCCTTTACGGTGACCAATTTACGTTTTCAACTCAGTTGTTAACGCAAAATTACCAGAATAAATTTAGCTCGGTGATTCAGGACAGAACACCTGCCATAGCTCCGGGTATCAGGTGCCTGATTTACTGAAAACACTGTTCAGTAAAAAAAAAAAAAAAAGGGGGTTAGCTCTTGTCAATGTTAAAGTGTGAACAATATTAACCTTCAGGGACCGATTCGTATGTCAAACTCCCTGAAAAAGGTTAAGGTATTTTAAAAGGTTTTTTTAAGCAAATTTTTCTCTTAACGGAGTTTACAGCGTTTCATTTTAAGATAGCTCAAAACAGATTGCCCTTTTTCGAGAAAAGTTCTTCAAATTATTTCTCAAAACAGTTTGGCTCTTCGTAATAAGTATAGTAGTAAACTATACTACTAGTATAAAATTCGGCACAGAAATAAAAGAAACACCATAACATCATTTTTCCCCAGATAATTTAAAAATACAATGCATGTGCACTACAATAAACCTTATTCAAACATGGTGAGGTTTAAAGCTGCAAGCTTGTGGGAACGTGTAGAAAATAAAGTAAACAAAAAAAAGAAAAAAAAATTGTCACCATGGAAACCATAGGACACATCCAGTCGTGCCTCCAAAATCGAAAACTAAATCAGTATTATGGTGGGACGGGAAAATATTTAGCTCGAATTCATGACGTACGGACCGAACGCAACGAGGTCCGTGTCTCATGATCGAGAGCCAAATATTTTCCCGTCCGGCCCGGGCACACTCAGCTACACGAGCACAAAAAAGAAATTCTGAAATTTAAACTTTTCCTTTACTTTTTTTTCAGAGGGCACGGTAACGAATCCTGCAGTCTGATTGGTTCTTTACCCGGTCAGTATTTTCTTATCTCTGCCCACGGGCCACGGTGACGCCTTCGTGAATCGCTGAGTACATCCCAAATTTCGTTGCCATTTTTATAAATATATCTCGCTTTTCCGTCTGGGTAGTATTTTTAGGCAGACACGTCGGTCACTACCTCAAGCCGATAAATAACTTATGAATCCTCTCTTTTCTCTCTCTCAAATCACTTTGGTTGACAGAAAAATATTGGTTTCAGAATGAATTTGTATAAGCAATAGTGTCATTACGTTGGTTGACAAGCGGCATAAAAACCGTCAGCAGTTAATTTTAATCGTTCACAAAAAGTACCTAAAAAGTTAAAACGTGAGGTATTTGATTACAGTTAAACTGAACGGTGGAATTTTCATTCATTTAATATCTGAATTTTCTCAAACAATTTGTTCGTAGCGAAAGAGCGAGCGAAGTTTTACATTCAGTTCTACAACAAATATACGCTCTCTGTGAGTCTTTCCGGGTCCGTTCAATTTGGACATTTGTACCGTAAATTGCACAACAGAAACTGAAGGAATTTATTGAGAGAATGGCGCATTAAATCCCCTTGGAGTGTGCCATTCGAATTTAGTTTTTGTGGAGGAAAGACCAGATTTACACACGACATTGCAGCAAACAAATGAGCAAACTCGCACAACTACAAAATTTAAGAATTTGTTCATGCTGAGCGTGCGTATATCGAGTTATGGATACACGCGGGAAGTTTGGAGAGCACGAAAAATGCGTAAGAGTAGCTCGAGGCGCAGCCAAGAGCAACTCTAGCTTTTTGAGTGCTCTCCAAACTTCCCAAGTGCATCCATAACTCAACTGATATACGCACAGCTAAAAGCATGAGCAAATTCTTTTATAACAGAGCAACAACAAGAATCTGCGCGAAGAAACCTTTTATTGTGATAGAGTGCAATTGCGATTGTTCTGGTTTTGGTAAATTTCCAATTAACTGTGTATTTTATTCCCCAGGTTGAACAAATTTAAAAACGACAGTAAAAAACGGAACTTTTACCTTTGAATGTCGTTTATGACCAATTGGTGACTATTTTTTATTCCCAGTGAATGTCTGTCTTTCGGCCAAAATTTGCTCCAGCTGGTCTTACGACAAATTTGCGAAACGTGCAACTTGGGAGTTTTTTCCGGCTTTATTTCTGTTGCTTGTTGGATCAAGACCCAAACGGTCAATGCCGATAGAAAAATTGGCCAGTTCTTCTCTGGTTTCTTCCATATTTCAAAGAGAAGGAAAACTGCACCGCAGCTTAACAGGATGGAAACTCTGAAGCCAGGTTAAAAAAAATGCTCACGTCATCTTATTTACGCACGGGCGTGCGTAAATAAGGATTTTGTTCATAGCGGCTCAATAGGACTAAAATAGGGCAAGCACCGGCGCTGTTATGGAAAAAATTTGAATTTACTCACTATTACCTTCCTCGCCGTTTACTTAATGATCAGAGGTAAATCTTGGTACATGAATGAATGGTCGACGACAGTGAATAATACTTTCCCTTAGGTCATTGAATGTTTTTGAAGGAAACATTGTCGTGACAGTCCTTGCCAAACTAGTTCCGTTGTTTTTCAAATGTTCTTACTTTTTTTTTTGTTTCTTTTCTTACGCGCTCTCTAATTGACAGGTGTCAGACAGTGACAGATACTGGTAAAAATAATGTTTCAAAGTTTGTTTGGAAGCCTTTTAAATCACCTTTATCATTACGCAAATGAAAATGTTTCGGTAAGGCATCTCTCTTTAATTTGCATCACCTCTTTTTTAACTACCATTTACTCGTTAAAAAATTGTTCAGTTTATGGAAGATCTTGCCGTATTTACAGCCCTAAATCATTCGGGTTCTTTCGGAAAGAATTTCGTCAAGTTAAAAAAAAAATATGTTATTTACCGGCTAAGGGTTGATCCGTATGGTGAAAAACTGTGACCTCGGTCTTGAAAATGCTGCATGTACATCAAGACCTCGATCATAGTTTTTCACCGTACGAACCTTCCGGCCGGCAAACTGACATTTATTTATTTTTTCAAGTCATAACAAGAAACTCCCAATTTCTTGAAAAACGGCTTTTTCCTGACCGGCTTAAGTCAACCCGTCCGGCCCTGTACACGTCAGCTTTAACTGTGGTTTTCTAGGGGATTAGGCGAGCGGGGCCAGACGGGTCATACGATAATTACGAATATGCCTCAACTGCACGCGCGAGATTTGTATCACAAGTTGCCGGTTTTCATTGTCACGCCATCATCAAAACGTACAACAAATAAAGTCAAGAATCAAAAAGACAGAAAATCCTGTAGCCGTCTTCAGCGGACTTATAATCATCTATATGAGTACTTATTCTCATACTAGGACTGTTCAGATCGCGAAATCTAAGCGGATGTCACTTTTTTTTAAACCTACGTGACAGCATTCTTGGCCGCCATTTTAATGTCGCTTCGCGCCAAAGCTCAGAAATTCAATCTTGCTTTCTCACAAGACGAAAAACCCTAACAAGCTGGAAATTTGTAAAAAGTAAGTCTTCAACAGTTCTTATAACTAACCGAACTAAAATCTCAAAGGGATTGATAATTCCTTATTTTCTAATTTTGAAGACGTGACGTGAAAACCAGATAAAGCGCGCTCGCGACTGAAACTATTCCTAGCCTTCAGCGTGGCATCCCCTCAGGACAGCCATCGATAATGGAGTGGGTTAATAATAACAATAGCAATCTTTCATCAGGAAAATTTCATTACATCACTGTGGTTTTCAGAAAGGTCCTAGGAGACTTGGCAAGAGACTTGGGAACCCCTTTAGAAGACGACCTAAATATGAAGGACTAAGCCGACTAGACAAAGCATCCCATTTACTTCACGACCTTACTGAACAATTCAGTGATAAGCGTTCCAATTACCGCCGATACCAGAACCTAAACAAAGGAAATTAATTAATTAACCGCACAACGGAAATGTTGACCTTTAAAAGCTAATCATACTCTCGTTGTAATCTGAGGTTAATTGAGCAGCTTATACTATAAAGAAGGAAAATTTTAACTGTGACAGGCCGTCATCGAAGATCTCATATTCGGTAAAATGCCTCATCAAAAGGGATTGATAATTTCTTATTTTCTAATTTTAATGACGTCACGTGACTGAAACTCTTTCGAGCCTTTAGCGTGGTGTCCCCTCCGTGAATATGTCATTATTACAAAGGACAGACATCAATAATGGAGCAGGTTTAGGTAAGAGACTAAGGAACCCCTTAACGTGACGACCTAAATATGAAGGACTAAGCCGACTAGACAAAGCATCCCATTAAATTCACGACCTTAATGAAGATTTCAATAATAAGGGTACCAATTACCGCCAATACCAGAACCTAAACAAAAGAAATTAATTTATTAACCGCACAACGGAAATATTGACCTTTAAAAATCACACCGTTGTCATCAGAGGTTATTTGAGCAGCTTACACTGACAAGGAAACTTTATTACGACAGACCGTGATCGAAAATCCTTTAGTCCGTAACAATGTCTCATCAAAAGACCGAAGTGGTTTCCAAGTCCAACGAATTAACTTTTCTGAGGACAGTGGATTTGGAATGCTGTATTTGGTGAGTTGAATATCATTGCTGGCTGTCATATTTTGCCATCGTTTTTGTTACCGCTCATTTCCAGTGCTATTATACCGCCACATTCCTTTTCAGTTATAGCATCGTGTCAAGGCCCGTTACCCTTGCCTGTGGGCACTCTGGCTGCAAAAATTGCATGGAAACTTGGGCAGAATCGACAGCCACACCGTTGTGTCCCCAGTGTCGGGCAACGTTCCGAAAAGAAGAGCTGAGGTTAAATGTGGCAATGGATAAGGCGACCCGAGATTTGCCTGTTAAATGTAACAGCCAAGGCTGCCAGTGGAAGGGCAACTATAGCGATGCCAACGATCACCTCAGACATTGCCCAAAAGTACGAGAGAGGTGCCCCAACGAAGGATGCCAGCACGTGGCGGCACGGGAAGAAATGACAGCACACGCTTGCCCAAAAGAAAGGATCGCATGTTCAGGATGCCAACTGAGCGTAACCAGGGAAAGACTCCAATTCCACCGTACATCTTTATGCAGAAACTCTGCAGTTCTATGCCCCTTGAGATGTGGAGCATCATTACCACGGTATGTTGTATTAATTAGGATAATTCAGCATTGCGATATTTTGGTGTTAGGCGATTGTCATAAGTGAAGTATTTTTCGGTAATTTTTAGCATGAATTGCAGTATTGCTGTATTCTCTTATCATTTCAATCGTCAATAGCAGGTGACAAACTTATCCTTCTGTTATCCAAATCGAGGACTACGAGCAGTCCTAACTTGTGTCTGGTGCCACGCGATCAGCTGCATTCCTTAAAAATAACTGACAGAGAGGAATTAAATTTCATAAGCAAGAAACGATTTGAGAAACAGAAATAATGCCTATTTTTCAGTGGGGATCTAAGAGAGGGGCCTAGTGATACTTCCAATTACTTTAAGTCCCCCTGACCACCGCTCTCCCCAAAGCCCCAAAGTTTATATCAAGGTCAATTAATCTACAGAGCCAATTGGCGTGACCCTTGAGGTGTCATGTTTTTCCCACTTTTTTTTTTTTTTCAAACCACTGTTGGAATATATGATACCAGTCAAAATGGAAGATCTAGAACTAACACATACCTCTTTTTGAATTGTAGAATGAACATCAACCTACATCTACACAAATGCCCAGAGAAGGCTTCAATGTGCCAAGTACCTGGCTGCAAAAAAATTGTGAAAAAGAAGGACATGAATGTCCATTTGAAGGAAGCAAGTACCTCGCATTTTGCGCTCCAATCAGGAGAAATCAAACGACTGCGAGGAATAATATACTACAAGGTAAGCTGCCTTTTCACCAACCTAAAAATCAATAAAACATGCACTCTTTTAAATGCCAAAACCAGCGAAGTAAGTGGAAAAAAGGATGGCAACTGTTGCATTTACCTTCAAAATCTTACATTGAAAATCTTTTTCTGGTGCATTTCATAATATCCATAAAATCCATTTCTGTTTCAGAAATGCAACATAGAACCCATAGAGCCCAAAGTGGAAAGGGTTGTCTCCTTTTGCTGGAGAATTCCAAATTTTGTGGAGAGCAGGAGACAACAAGCTTCAGATGCCATTGGAGACAAGCCCCTTACAAGTGGGCCATTTATAGATGACAACTGCAGATGGAGAGGACTGTACTCCGGACAACAAAAATTGTTCCTGCAGCTGCTCTCAGCATTCCATCCAGTTACTGGGGAAATTCAGTAAGAACTTTAATTATTTCATGCAGAGTGTTTGTGAGTGCACTTAAAGGAAAATGCTACCTTTGCCTTCTTTCATGTCCCAAGAGTGACCAACACTATTTTCATCACAAATCGAATTATACTAAACCAGGAGAAAAGGTTATGAGAATTTGTTCATAGATTGTCAAAGGGAAATTGATATTATGTTTGGAAAAAAAATCACCTTTATAACTAAGGGGGCTTTAGAAGAAATGATGCATAACACTAAATTTGCTGTCTGTGTGTTGCATGAAAAAAACATTTCATTGTACCTATTTGTATATGACTGTGCCAGAACTTGCTTACGGCTGTGTTCAAAGCCAAACCCACCCATGTACTACTCCTGTTTAAGCTGAGAGACAATACGGATATCTGGCATAAAAATACACAATGATTGTTGAGTGGAACAATGTTATGATATGTAAATATATATTCTATTTTCTTTTTGAAGAATTGTAATGGCCCCTGGAAGTGACAATGAACAAGTGCTAGACTTGGACATAGTGTCCCTGAAGGAAGGAGAAATGTGGGGTAGGAGGATACCAAATGTGGACAGTCTACTGGACGGAAATGGCAGCCTTGATGTTAAATTTATTATTTACTACTTCAACTTGTACTAATTTCATGAACAGGTCATAAAATGTTCAATTCAGTTATTATTATTTTTATTAACCTCTTACTTAACAGTCATAAATTTCTTGCTTATTTTTTTTGTCATGACTGCAAATTAAGAATATGGTTTTTGCAGTCTATAAAGAGGGTTGGGTCAGGCCGTTTAAAAACTAAGGTTAAATCAACAAGCATTGATTATTTTGTTAAAAGTGAACTGTTGCAGTTGTTTAATGGCTTTTTGGTGGATCTATTAACACATTCATAACTGGATTGAACATTTTAAGACCTGTTAATAATGGAAACCTCTTTGCTCTCAACTATCAAACCAATTCCTGAAAATTACTCACTTTTCACAAAATTGGCAAATCTGTCTTCATCTAGCAACATTTAATCAATCTGGATTCAAAAATACATTTCTCTCACTGATAAACACAGCTTGAACTGTACTTTAGCTTCTTTTAACAATTACAGTAGCCCGCCACACTTTCTTAATTTCGTGAAATGTCGTCAATCAACCATGGTCTCTGATAATGCATATGTTCAGTATAGTTAATAATATTCTTCTTAATATTTGATTGCAAGGGATGAACATTCATTACTTTTCAGACTTTTTTTTTGTCATATTCTCCAAAAGATTTTCATATTTCATTAGAGTTCTGTTCCTTTTCCTTGTTACAAAAGACGAATTAAAATAGAAACACGAAAGTGTATTGAGCTCATATAATAAAAATAGAATGTGTGTATTGTTGCATGTTGTTATGTATACTTTTTTGTGGGGTTTTTGGGGCTGGTAAAATGGAGGGAGACACTTTCTTATTACACAACTGAGATTTAAAATAACCGAGAAACGTACACTCCAGGATTGAGCTTAAGTTTGAAACTGAACAAAATGTTACTAGAAACTATGAACCAGCAACTCGGAACACCCTCCCGTAAAGAGCCAATGCTCACCTTAGTGTCATTTCCTTCATCTCCTTAGCAGTAGAAATCATTCTATGCTCTTCTTCTGTCACTCTTCTTCTTTTTTTTCGAATTCGACCGAAAACATACTCCTAAAAAGTCCCGAATTCACGAACTAAACTCGACAAATTTGCCAGAAACATGGCCACTCTCGCTCGTCCCATGCTCCCTCCCAAGTCTTGGTACCAGATTACCTCTCATTTGCTGAATGAAGATTAAACCGAGCTCGATACCAAATCGAGCTCGATATGAAACCTACAGAATGCGAGGCAAACCGTGCTCGATAGAATACGTGGCAAACCGAGCTCGATAAAAATAACTGAGGTCGATAAGAGCAGATTGAGTTCGTCGAGCTCGTCTTTTTAATCGAGCACGATATAGTTGAATCGAGCTCGAATCGAATTGACTGCATTTCGAGCTCGTTGAACCGAGGTTGATTTGAAATGGTACTCGAATTGCTATTCGAGTACGGTGAACATGAATCGAGCTCGGTTGCCCAGATACTAAATGTGGTCCCAAATATTGATCGGACCACATTTAGTATCTGGGCAACCGAGCTCGATTCATGTTCACCGTACTCGAATAGCAATTCGAGTACCATTTCAAACCAACCTCGGTTCAACGAGCTCGAAATGCAGTCAATTCTATTCGAGCTCGATTCAACTATATCGTGCTCGATTAAAAAGACGAGCTCGACGAACTCAATCTGCTCGGATCAATATTTGTTTCTGGGCAACCGAGCTCGAAATAGGTGACTCGAGCTCGAAAGCCTATCCGAGCTCGAGTCACAACTCGACTAGAAGGATCCTGAGCAACCGAGCTCGACATAAGTGACTCGAGCTCGAAAGCCTACCCGAGCTCGAGTCACAACCTTTGTAATCGAGCTCGAATCAAATCGAGTTCGATTTGGTAATTGCGCTCGAATCAAATCGATCTCGTGTCCGACCGAGCTGAATAATATTTGTTCCTGGGCAACCGAGCTCGATATAGATTTTTCTGGCAGGGGGAGGGAGGAGGGGGAAGTGCAGATCATGCTCGATATAAGGGGAAGAGATAATATTAAAAACTATGGTGAAGAGAAAATGTTTCATGTTTTTTCTTAAGTTTAAAACAGCATTTGGACAGAGAACAATTAATTATTGAATGGTTTCCTCATGCAACCAGTTGGACGATTCTTTTAAACTTTGTTACTCAATCTAGGTTTTAAACGCAGATTAAGAAGTGAGCACCTGGAACGGTTCTTGCGGTCCTAGTCCTTAAGCTTGCAATCACCAGCTTTTTAGACATCTAGATCTAAAATTTTTACACTATACATTGAATTAAAGCTTGCAACAACCAAATTTTTAATGTTAAACTCTAACCACCAGATTTACACGTAAGATTCACATTGTTCATTTTTACAAGTTACTTAAGTGATTAACGGACTTAAGCAAAAATTTGAGTGAGACGAAAAAAAAAAGGGGGGTTTTCTAAAGTTTTAAAGAGTCCAATCGCTAGAGTGGGTCGATTCTTGTTCCACGGAGGAGTGACCGAGAGGCTGGTATCCAAGGAGCAGCGCATCTACACTTTATTGCAGAAGCTCAAAGACGCGACTGGTTAATGAAGTTTGGGATTAACGGACTTAAGCAAAAATTTGAGTTCGCTGCCACTATAAAAAATCTCGGGAAGCAGGCGAATGTAAAAATTGAAATGTTAACTATTCGGTATCAGTTTTCTTACGACACCGTTATCGAGCTCATTGTAATGCAGGAACTAGGTAAGAACGCTTTCTTACACTTGTGTATCGCCCATAAATGGGTTCTCTATTCTTTCTTATTTCGTGGCTGCTAAACTACCGAAAATTACGAAACTTAGTGACCGGATGATGACGCAACTTTTTTGGGTCTTAACCTCTCTTCCCCTCAACCCCTTCCCCGTTAATATGAGAATAATCCAGAATATTTAAAAGAGATATGGTAAGGGATGGGACATTCATTTTATTGTTGAAACAGGTGTATGTTAGTGTCTTACAAAATGCTCTCCTCCTTTGACGTTCCCTTTCTACCACATATTTAAAGATAACTTTCAACATGCCATTGTAAAGTGCACATGTTATTTGCAAAATTTATTAAAATTCATAATTGATAAATACGCATGATTACCAGCTGATTAATCATAACCACTAAATACTTAATGGATAAAAAAACATGAACATAATTAGAATACAAACTATTTTAAACACTTGCATTAATTTTTTAACCCTCTAACCCCTAGAAGGGATAAACATGAAACTTCTCCCCAGAATATCCTTACATTATCCAACAAATAGGTAATGAGAATACTCATGTTTATCAGGTAGAAATTGTCATCTTGATCTAATACCCAATTTGCATAAGCTATCTACAAGGAATTGTGTAGCAGCTTGAGGGGACAATTAAGAAACAGTTTCAAAAGATTGAGAGTTAACTTTTAATTAACAACTGCTCTACATCTGTTGAATGTGATACAGCACAACAACAATAATTTATATTTTTCTTTGATCAAAATTTATAAACATGCATGATTACTTAGTGAGTAATTATAACCACTAAATACTTAATGAATAACAAACATTAACATAATTAAACAACAAACTAGTTTAAAAACTTGCATTCATTTTTTCACCCTTTGACTCCTAGAAGTGATTAACCCTTTAACTCCCAGATTGAATTTTTAATTCTCCTTACTATCAACCATACAATTCTTATGATGTTAGGTCAGAGAATTTAGTATTGATCAACTAATTAACCCAAAATTGATATTCTTCTTTGGTCTCTTCACTTATCTGGTTGATATTGTATTAATATTGTAGGGAGAAATTCTGTCTGGGTCACTCGTGGCAGTTAAAAGGTTAACAAGAAACTTCTTCCCATAAAATCCTTATGTTATCCAACAAATAGGTAACAAGAATACTCAAATTTATAAACATGCATGATTACTTACTGAGTAATCATAACCACTAAATACTTAATGAATAACAAACATTCACATAATTAAATTACAAACTAGTTTAACCCTTTAACTCCCAAGATCTGATTGTTAATCCTCCCCTGTAGCTGCTACACATTTCCTTGTGAATTAGTTATGAGAACTTGGTGCTAGATCAAGATAGCAGCTTCTACCTGATAAGTTTTAATATTCTCTTTACCTGTTTGCTGGAGAATGTATGGATATTGTAGGTAGAAGTTTTATGTGAATCGCCACTGGGAGTTAAAGGGTTAAAAACTTCCATTAATTTTTTTCACCCTTTAACTTCTATAAGTGATTAACAAGTAACTTCTCCCCATAATATCCTTACATTATCCAACATCTGACTACTTCTTCAACTTCTTCCTTTGGCAGCCAGTTCTTTTTTCCCTTTTTTTCTTTTCCCCTTTGGCATTGATTTCCTTTATTTCTTCTTTTTCTACCTTTTCTCCTTCCTCACCTTCCATGCTGGCATCTTCTCTTCTACATTCTCCATCTTTATCTACTCTTGCGTCTTTTTTCTCTTCGCTCTTTTGCTTCTTCTTTTCTCTTTTCTCTTTCCTTTCCTTTTTTCTTCTTTTTTCCATTCTTCTTTCCTTTTTATAATGGTCTTGGTGGTCTTCATCTGTCAGTAAAAGTGATGATGGTTTAATCCCTTTAACAATCAACTCAGGCATTGGTAATGGATTTTACCACCACGTCATTATTGAGGTGATGCAATAAAGAGCATTTTAAGTCTTCTAAGATAATAATTTTGTTCACAAGTTTTGCTAGAAAACCTACCATAAACCTCATAAAGACAATTCTTACCCTCGACTGTCGTTTGCAGGATTTCCTGTTTGCCTAGTGGCACATTTCCCTTGAAGCAAACCTGCAAAGAAATGAAGGGAAGGGAAGTATGCTGCACAAAATGGATAACATGGTGATGAATAATTCAGCTTATAAGCAAATTCATCTGTACAGCATACCTCCCTCAAACATTTCCACTAGAGTAGATACCATTTGCATTGTCTTGCATGTTAATGTTAATGTTATTGTTAGCTTTTATAACAGTGTTACGCAAGTCAATGCCAATGTGTCATCTTCCATAGGGAATGGTGTATCAAAATTACTCTAGGGAAAGTCCCTGCCACTCAAAACAAACATACTTAATAAATCCCTTTCTTCTTAAATTTTCATACCTACCATGCAGCTCATTCAAGTATCTCTGGGAGCACTTGATAATAATTGCGTTGAAGGAATTAATGAAATTCAATAACTAAAAGAGAATTTCCCTGTGAGCCTTTTCCCTGTCAAAGGGGAAAAGTCTGGGCAAACTCTCTGATTGTCTTGTCTCTACAAGAGCCTATTCATTCACCAGAAGGGGGAACATTCTTGCCAATCTTATAGTCAGGAGTGAAACAGTCTTTGTCAGTCTCACCCAGGTGTTACGTCACTAAGGCCTCATCCCTGGTCAAGAGAACAGTCTTGTCCATCTCCCCCAAGTGTCGCGGCACTAAGGCCTCGTCCCTGGTCAGGAGAACAGTCTTGTCAATCTCCCCCAAGTGTCGCGGCACTAAGGCCTCGTCCCTGGTCAGGAGAACAGTCTTGTCAATCTCCCCCAAGTGTCGCGGCACTGAGGCCTCGTCCCTGGTCAGGAGAACAGTCTTGTCCATCTCCCCCAAGTGTCGCGGCACTAGGGCCTCGTCCCTGGTCAGGAGAAGAACAGTCTTGTCAGTCTCCCCCAAGTGTCGCGGCACTAAGGCCTCGTCCCTGGTCAGGAGAACAGTATTGTCAATCTCCCCCAAGTGTCGCGGCACTGAGGCCTCGTCCCTGGTCAGGAGAACAGTATTGTCCATCTCCCTTAAGTGTCGCGGCACTAAGGCCTCGTCCCTGGTCAGGAGAACAGTCTTGTCCATCTCCCCCAAGTGTCGCGGCACTGAGGCCTCGTCCCTGGTCAGGAGAACAGTATTGTCAGTCTCCCCCAAGTGTCCTCCAGTCAATCTCCCCCAAGTCCGGCACTGAGGCCTCGTCCCTGGTCAGGAGAACAGTATTGTCCATCTCCCCCAAGTGTCGCGGCACTAAGGCCTCGTCCCTGGTCAGGAGAACAGTCTTGTCCATCTCCCCCAAGTGTCGCGGCACTGAGGCCTCGTCCCTGGTCAGTAGAACAGTATTGTCAGTCTCCCCCAAGTGTCGCGGCACAAAGGCCTCGTCCCTGGTCAGGAGAAGAACAGTCCAGTCAGTCTCCCCCAAGTGTCGCGGCACTAAGGCCTCGTCCCTGGTCAGGAGAACAGTATTGTCCATCTCCCCCAAGTGTCGCGGCACTGAGGCCTCGTCCCTGGTCAGGAGAAGAACAGTCCAGTCAGTCTCCCCCAAGTGTCGCGGCACTAAGGCCTCGTCCCTGGTCAGGAGAACAGTCTTGTCCATCTCCCCCAAGTGTCGCGGCACTGAGGCCTCGTCCCTGGTCAGGAGAAGAACGGTCTTGTCAGTCTCCCCCAAGTGTCACGGCACTAAGGCCTCATCCCTGGTCAGGAGAATAGTCTTGTCCCTATCCCCCAACAAGTGTCGTGGCAGTAAGGCATTATCCCTGGTCGGGAAACCGGCCTTGTCAGTCTCCCTTGAGTGTGTTGTGGTTTAGGAGAGAAACAATAGTCATTTGTCAAGTGTAAGGTTTTGTTTGTCTGCCTAAGTTGTTGGATTTGCAAGATTTCCCTTTCCAGGAGAAAATGACAAATCAATTTGTAATTGTGAGGATTTATTTAAATGTTGTCAGGTGATGCTTATCTTGTTCCAGCATGTAATCAATGATAAATTCCAAACTAAGTCCTTAAATGCAGTCAGGTAATGCTTATCTTGTTCCAGCATGTAATTAATAATAAATTCCAAACTAAGCTCTTAATTGAGAACACAGTGTAAAACCAAAAAAGATTCCCTACCTGGTCATCTAGGAGAGCCTTGGCTTCCTCTGGATCCTAAATAGATTTGTGAAGATGTAATTGATATGTTACTGCTGAAATGATTGTTTCGTCTATTAAACCATCTAGCAAAACACCATTTGAAGTATAGGCACTAATTGAATATCGTGTACTGTAATTGAAATTGCGGAGAATACATATTATTCCTAAGTAAAACGTTCGTTTCCTCAGATTGCTCATGCCCAAATTTTCTTCTTTTCTCGTGAAGTTGCAAAGCATCTCGAAGTTGTCAAGCCATGTTACATAATGTGTGGAATATATGAAGTAAGATATGCGTTGCGCCGTATACATGACAAAGAAGATGAAAGATAACTAGTTTAAGCTTTTCACAGCTACAATAACAGTAGTGGCCATTACTGGAGTTTTGTTGTGTCTTTACGGACGCTAACAGCCTTTGAAACGTTTGATAAATAACTTCGTGACGATTCTGTACCGTGGAAAGAGGTGTAAGATCGCCCAGCACCAATCAAGAATTTCGGAATTTTTTACTCTGATAAATCGAAAAAGACAAGGTACGTTGTTTTAACTGAAGTAAAATTAAAGAACTTAATTAAATCAACGGGTTTATTTGTTTTTCTTAAAGGTTTTGGCGGCTGCAATAATATTTTATTGTCTTATGATGTTATTTCAGTAACAAAGAGGGGAGAATTTGAACCCTACTGGGACTCTTGTTGTGTAAGAAAAAATCAGTATAATAGATACAAGTTTATGTACGTACCCTCTCGCAGATATCTAGCACCTCCTTGCCCAGAAGGGGATCTTGGTGTTTGACCACGTGCTTTTGTCTCTGCAGAGTAAAATTTAGGGGCACATTCTGTTGTGACCCTGCCCAGTCATACATTTCCTGTTAAGAGATAAATTTCTTTCAAAAATGTCTCTAATGCGAATTGTAACTAGGAAAAATACAAAATAGCATGCAGTGGGCGGGTACTCCTTTCATTTGGAAAGTGGGTTGCCTTTTAAACTAGAATTAGGGGTCTGGAGCAGCTTTTTTCTTGTCATGTATTCGAAGGCTGGTCAACCCTATCCACCGGATAAATTTCTATTCAGCGGATAAATGTTAAAATAAACCCCGCTATCCTTCGGATAAAGATCTATCCAGTGGATAGCGCCATCCACCTTTCAAGAAATCCGGACCAGATGCAAAGTAATACAGTTTAGAAGATAAACTCGTTCATTTTTGTATAACGTTTACCTTTGCTTTGTGATTAAATTTACTTTCATCACATTTCACCACAACACCCGGGCCACCAAATGGTATTATTGGACGCGTCTGCAGGTCCAGAGAGCACACATCTTGTAGGCGTCTGCATATTTGTGACACCAAACTTGCATTTAAATTCAGGGTTCGCAAAATTCTTCGTTGCGAGTCATCCTGAACGAAGTAGTAGATGATCTTAAGTAGCGTAAGAAGTGGCAACTTTGGAAATTCGGCGAAGAAACTGTTCGACCGTAAACTCCGCCTTTTTCTGCAACCACTGCATCGCCTGCAGAAAATAGATGTTAAGTGTTATCAAGGAAGAAGTTTTACGCTTACAAATCAAACGACAGAATCAGCAGAGTTCTCAAATTGGTATTAGTTTGGGAAGAACCGGTCAGACCCTAACATCTTTTCTGTGCGCAGGTTTTCGACATGAAATTTTTTTTCAGGTTTTGTTTTTTACGAAATTTTATTTCAACACACACGCATTCGGGATGTGCGTAATTTTTTTTCGAGCGAGAATTGAAGGTCACCATTACATTAACCAATAATTAGACTCGACTCATTCTTGCGTTGAAATAAGCAAACGACAACGCTTAACTTACCATAGAAATCCATCTACATGGTTACCAGTCCTCACTGTCAATTCCATTTCACAATTACACTGTGCGCATTGTAGAGGATTGGGTAGTAAATAGCATCTTTGAAGCCACTGTATCACATTCAATGGAGGTTCCCTTTCGAAGTCGTTAAGTTCACTCAAGTTCATGTTGTTGCGCTATCTTGCTCAATGCGATCTGGCTCCACTATTTGTGTTTCAGTTTTTATCCAGGCTAACACACGCCCACTTATAACCCTTATAACCCTTGTAGGGACCGAAGTAATGGTCCCAAAGGAACCAATCTCTTTTGACCGAATTCCACTTTGAACCCTACCCCACAGTCTATTAATTTGGTGATTTAACTTTTTAACTAATAACCAAAAAGGGCCTATGTTTTGCTCTTTTAACTTTTACCTGACTTCACCTTTTAAACCCTGCTGTGAAATAAAAAACTCATCGGCAACAACGCAAGAAGGTCGCGTTCTTAAATTAAAAAGACTTCTAACAGTTAAAACTAAAACAAAGAATGCGATCGAAACAAAAAGTCTCACCCCTTTGTTTTCCTTGCCTTTTGCGGCGTGTTAAAACTAAAACAAAATAACGCGATCGACGAAAAAAGTCTCACCTCTTTGTTTTCCTTGCCTTTTGCGGCGTGTACCGAAATAGTTTACATGATATATAACCGGCTAAATAAGTTCTCCTCCCTGGCAATTTATAGCTTGATTACTTGGCGAACTTCAGTCCTTTTAGGAGCGTCAAGATTTCAGCTCGGCTTCCATAATAAATATTCTAAAAAGTGGTGTTTGTGCTTGCATGACTAGAGTTTTCCGCATGGGCTGAACGTGAATTTTGAAATTCGCAGTGATCAGCTTTCGCGATCATCTTTTACCTCGCAATGCTTCTATGATCTTCTCTACCTTGTCTATTCGCAGTGATTTAAATCATTTTGATCATCTTTTTTTGTTTATTGCGAAGACAAAGTGCGGAAACCCTCCGCTTATTATACAAAGATGCGTCCTTTCCGGTACTGAAGGATTTTTTTTCGATCGGGGAGTCAATTTCGTATTTGCATTTTATTTTCGGTGAAGTTGAAGTTCTAGAGATTTTAGTGATGCACAGCTGACGTTGAGACGAAAGTTTTCAGATATCTGCTTCGATACGCACATGTCCGTTTCTTTTGAATTTGTGAGGGAGGGGGGAGGGGGGAGGTAGGTTTTTCTGAGGTTCTGGATACTTTAATAAGAGTGACATTAGGGTACCTAAATTTTATCAGCTAACAATGCAGTGCGTAAATTCACAGCTAAACTAAAAAAAAATAATAATAATATGTTGAAAGGAAACTATTCGTTCAAGTATTAGCAAGGCAATTTTATGGAGATGTGTGTTTTAGACTTTGTGCAATTTTCTATGCTTGATGTTTAATTTCCACTGTTGCAGAAGCGAAATAAAGTGGGCCTGTTCACGCCATACAACAAATTCTTATTTTCATGAGGCTATGACAGTGAATGCTGAGGAAATGATTGATCTGCGCGACATTGTACATCGTAAATCTATCCACACGGGGTTAGACTGTATTACAGACGGACCAATTGGTGGCAGATCCAGAAATCTCAGATAAAGAAGAGAGGAGAAATGTAAGCAGAGCGCAAGCGACTCTCCGCTTCCTACCCCCTCCACCAAACCAAATGAACGATTCCGCTCAAAAGGTAAATTTTGTCAAAAATACAATTCCCAACTATTTTTTCCCAGGGCGACTCTTGCTTGGTTAACACGATGTGGTTATTATATTGAGGTAAATGATCAGGTGTTGCCATACGGACCGTTTCCATAGAAACGGGCATAAGCAGTGTATTTTTTTCCTTCTTAAGGCTCGAACGCCATAATAACTTTTAACTAACCGAGCAGGAGGACCCAACTGGGTATTATCATATGACCCGTACGGCCCCGCACGTTATTTCATGAGAAAACGTAAACATTCGTTTTAGGGCCGTACGTGGCGAAGTGATAGGCCGGAAAAACGCGTCGTAAAACTGGAAACGCATACGCCCCACAAAATCAATGCGATGTAAAATTTCTGACGTGAGAAATTTAAATTCTTAAAACATATTATCATGTCCTCGCTAGCTTTGAAACAGGAAAAACCAAATATATTTTTGAATTTTTCTCTTCACCATAGTTTTTAATATTATCTCTTCCCCTTGATAGTCTTATATCGAGCATGATCTGCACTTTCCCCTCCCCCCTCATCATGTTTTAAGTTACTTTGAAAAAATGGACAATTTGAATCTTACATGTAAATCTGGTGGTTAGAGTTGAACATTAAAAATTTGGTTGTTGCAAGCTTTAATTCAATGTATAATGTAAAAATTTTAGATCTAGATGTCTAAAAAGCTGGTGGTTGCAAGCTTAAGGACTAGGACCGCAAGAACCGTTCCAGGTGCTCAATTCCTTATTCTGCGTTTAAAACCTAGATTGAGTAACAAAGTTTAAAAGAATCGTCCAACTGGTTGCATGAGGAAACCATTCAATAATTGATTGTTCTATGTCCAAATGCTGTTTTAAAAAGTAGGATGTTTAAAAGGCGAGAGCTACGAGTTGTCCTGCGAGATATATCTCCTCTGTTTTCAAATAGTCTGGTGCATATGCAGTCACGCAATTTCAATCGGAACAACAAATTTTTCAACATCTCTTGGGTGGCGCTTAAAGTCTTATAAAATGCCAAAAAATAGTTATTAAAGCGGTCGACAAAGCCGGCGCTGTGGTCATTTGGCGGGCCAACCTCAACAAAAGAGAAGCGTCAACTTTTTGAAACCTATTTTTATGCAAAACTTTAAAAAAATCTCACCTACAGAGAACAAAAACTGTCCAAAGCATTGCGAACGGCCTTCTAGCAAAACAAAAACTGCCACAAATTTAATCATCACAAATCTTCAAACAGTACACATTTCTTTCTTTCTTTTAACCAAAAAATCACAAACCCAACAACCCTGGTCGACCCATCGTTTAATCCTGCAGTTGCCCCACCACACAGATCTCTACCTATTTATACTCCGGGAAAAGAGAAATCACATGGAGACATATCAGTCTGGCCTAAGCTATGTAACCTTTTTTTTAACTGAATGTAAAGCTTTGTCTCTGAGCAGATCTATAGACTTCCTGACCATGAAAAACAAACTAAGGATATGGGGATGACGACGCTTGCATAACTTACACTCTGGTGGAAGTTTTGGGTGACAGAACCGCGCGAATGAGCAGCGAAGTAACGGAGAGAATGTGAAGGAATAAACTAACGCTCGGCCGCATAAATCTTCCTTGAACGAAAAAAAACATTCAGTCACGCAAGCTATAGACATACAGAAATCCTTTTCAATTCAAGAAGTCATCATTTCAAACCCCCCTTCCCTCTACCCGCCTCCACCACCCCCCTATTCCTTTTCCCCTCCCCCCTTATTCCTTTCCCCACCACCCCCCCCCCCCATACTAGGCACACGGCTGGAAATCATGTCCTCGCTAGCTTTGAAACAGGAAAAACCAAATATTTTTTTTAATTTTTCTCTTCACCATAGTTTTTAATATTGATAGTCTTATATCGAGCATGATCTGCACTTCCCCCCCCCCCCTGCCAGAAAAATATATATCGAGCTCAGTTGCCCGGGAACAAATATTATTCAGCTCGGTCGGACGCGAGCTCGATTTGATTCGAGCGCGATTACCAAATCGAGCTCGATTTGATTCGAGCTCGATTACAAAGGTTGTGACTCGAGCTCGGGTAGGCTTTCGAGCTCGAGTCACTTATGTCGAGCTCGGTTGCTCAGGATCCTTCTAGTCGAGTTGTGACTCGAGCTCGGATAGGCTTTCGAGCTCGAGTCACCTATTTCGAGCTCGGTTGCCCTCTTCTTTTGTCACTCTTCTTAATTTCTTTCGAATTCGACCGAAAACATACTCCTAAAAAGTCCCGAATTCACGAACTAAACTCGACAAATTTGCCAGAAACATGGCCACTCTCGCTCGTCCCATGCTCTCTCCCAAGTCTTGGTACCAGATTACCTCTCATTTGCTGAATGAAGATTTAACCGAGCTCGATACCAAATCGAGCTCAATATGAAACCTATAGAATGCGTGGCAAACCGTGCTCGATAGAATACGTGGCAAACCGAGCTCGATGAAAATAACTGAGGTCGATAAGAGCAGATTGAGTTCGTCGAGCTCGTCTTTTTAATCGAGCACGATATAGTTGAATCGAGCTCGAATAGAATTGACTGCATTTCGAGCTCGTTGAACCGAGGTTGGTTTGAAATGGTACTCGAATTGCTATTCGAGTACGGTGAACATGAATCGAGCTCGGTTGCCCAGATACTAAATGTGGTTTTAGTTCAACCGAGGAAGAAGAGCAGCCAGAGACGCGTGGGTATTTGGTATAGTCACTACCGAGTTTAGTCCGGCACGGGGTTACTTCCAGGTTGTAGAGAGACGGGATATCGCGACACTTGACCCCATAATCTCGAAGTGTATCCGACCAGGAACAGAAGTCTACACCGATGACTGGGCTTCATACAGAGGCATGGAACACCGTATAAATAACGTCGCCGTGCACCGAATCGTCGTGCATGCTCGACACTTTGTTGATCCTGTTACTGGTGTCCACACACAGGAGGTAGAGTCCTGCTGGAATAATCTTAAGTTAGGGCAAAAAATACGAAGAGGTATGAAAAAAGAAGATCTTCAATCATACCTCGACGAACAGATGTGGCGTCAATGGAGAGGGGGGCCTTACAGGCAAATTATGCAAAATTTTCTGGCAATTTTGCCCTCTCTGTATGCAGTTACCAACCCAGCACTTTAATTTGTTCGTTTTAAGGCCACGGGAATCACTTGGCCTTGAATAAATTCGCAAGCTAACATTTTTCGGATCAATACCAGTACCTGGGCAACTGCCCACCTACCCCTCCCCTAACTCAACAATAGTCAATTGATAACAAGTCAGGGTTAAATGTTGGGTTAAGGGAGGGGTAGGTGGGCAGTTGCCCAGATACTGATATTGATCCCAGTTTTCTTTTGCTGCATCTTTCAAAACTTTTATATCTTGGCTACTTTCGATGCGACTGAGCTCAAATTTTACAGACATGGCAGACTGGTGGGAGTTTGTGGATGTCGTGTTTAGACAGATG